AATTTATTACAAAATCGAACAATCTGACCTAAAGCTAATCAGGTAAAATCATCGTGTGTGTTCAGAGAATACATTTACATAAAGTGATTGGATTTGGAGCGCGTAACACAATGGTTATAGCGAGACTTGAGAAAATTTTATACTCAAAATCATGAGCAATGATTGGTATCACCGTAATACGAGTCATCAAATGAGATTTTACAAAATATTAGAAAATCGCATGAATGCATCAATACCCCGCTTGTGATTTATGGCACGAAACGCGAGGACATGTCGGATCAATGGCAGCATGTCGGACTCATCAAGCTCGAATCGTGGCCATTTCATTAATCTACCCATTACATTCGCACAGATCATATATTTCAGTTCAACTTCCCAAATCAATAAAATCAACTTTATTTATGTTTTCAAAACATTCATAAAGAATTATTAAAGTTTTTAACGAAAGTCACATTTTATGAACATGAATAATTTAATCTATAGAAATTGAAATTAATTATCACAATTAAAAATTGAAAATTTCGCTATATAAAAAATCATCCATATCGATATTTTCTAACCATAAACTATGAAACATAACAGTTCAAGAAATCAGCTGAACATTTATATCTGCCGAAAGCGAATTCAGTGCTCTACCTTAACGACGATGAAAGATTCGTGACCTACCTCAGAAAAGACCGCCAAAAGAATGGAAGGTATGCTCTAGAACGAGCGAGAGAGAGAGAAAGAGAGAGAGAGAGAGAGAGAGAGAGAGAGAGGAGAGAGAAAACTAGAGGGAAGCAGGAAATGGAAGAGAAAGACACAAAAAACCCTTACATGTCTTCTTCTTTCTACCCTTTATCCTCCCTCGCGTCCGCTCGATATCCTTGTCTATCCTTATCCGATACGATGGCCTCTATCGTTTCGTATGTCTGCCACAGTTCTGCCACCCCTGGACAATGTCCGTCGTTCAAATATCTTCCGTCTAATTGCTCTTCCTCTCTCCGTTCTTCCATAGCGTGGAACCCGGAAACGAATATCTCGGGATGACGTATGGACTTACTGCGAGGTACAGCGAGAAAGCAAGACGGGAAGGATGGATAAGGGAAGGAGGTCTTTTCTTCTCGGGTGAAAGAAAGAATCTTATCTGCCGCTGGTTATCACTCGAGGTACGGACTTAGAGAGGGGGGGTTGCTGACGATGACCATCGTTCGTCCTACTCAACGATCGTGGATGGAAGCTCGATAGATGGGAAGGGACAAACTCACGGACAAAGTTGCTATTGTGCAATCTCGAACGTGAACGTTTAAAAGTGACCTAATCTTCGATAAATTCAATAATTCCCTCTGCTATCCTATCGCCAAATTTTTCGTGTTTTAATCAGATTCTCAAAAACTTTAATCCTCCAGTGCAAAGTAATCAAATAATCGAGAAGATAAACCTCATACATTAAATAATAATTAAAGAGCGCTGTGTAAAATTAATATGCTTGTACTTATATAAACTTATATAAGTTTATATAATGAAAAGTACAGATCTTAAAGTGAGAAACACGATACAATTATTATGAGACAAATATAAAAATATTTTTCTTTTTTTTACATTTCTAATTTTTTTAAATATTATTAGAAAAATGGTATGAAGCATAAACTTGTATTAATATATGTATTAATATCATGTATTAATATATATACTTGTTCATCCAAAATAATATTATTCTAAATTAGAAACTGAATTCGCACAACCAGTAGAATTTAACATTGGATGTCTATCTGGAATAATCTAGATTCGTCGAGATTCACAATTACTGTGCTCATTCGTGCGTATAGTAAACTCGCATAAATTAAACTGCACAATCATAGAGACTATTTCGTTAAGCTACAATAAGATCCAGTTGTGAATTTGTGGAAAGAGTGCTGTAGTGCTCCGAGGATTTTTCTTTTTGTACACACCATTGCACTGCACCATCAACATCGAAAGACATGTACTAACAAAAGACTTGAATCTCCTTCTCTTTCGATTTCAGGTTTTCTACCAAGGAGTCGGCTACGCACGCTATCGTAGCAGTACACAACACAGACATCAACGGCCAAACGGTGAAATGCAGTTGGGGCAAGGAGAGTGGAGATCCTAATAATGCTCAACAAACTGGACAGGTAAACGTTTCTCTATCTTTTCCTTTTATCCGCTCTACCAGGAGGACGGTTTCAACGTGAAATTTCGCCCTCCAAAATGCTCTTCACCAACATTTACATCGTTGCTCGTATCAAACCAGAGACTTTTCTATTTTATTTCATGAATAAACATTGTCGCCAATTTTCCTTGAGATAATTTTCCAATATGAAAAAACAGTAACTTTACATGCATCGGTGAATCTGAATCACAAGTGACTATATTGCAGAAAATTAGAATTGAAAGGGAATAATATATGTTGACACTGATATCACAAATCTAATCTCCAATGTCTGCGTCTGTCAAAGCAATGAATGCAAAGCGACAGATTCTTCTACATAAATATAAAACTCAAACTTGCTGTTCTTATACGTGTCACTGAAACTGAATAATGAATATTCGTCTCAAAGAAGCAAGAGCGTTCAAAGAAGGAAATAGTTATCAGATTCGATCACGTTCGGTTCCTTTCAGTTTTGCGCAGCTAAAGTGTCTCTGTATATCTGTATATGGTCTGAAAGTCCAGCGAAAGAGTAAAGGCGGAAACAGAGAGAGGACAGGGAATCGGGCAAGATTCCGGTCTATTCAGGTGCCTCTCTTCGAAGTGTGTCGGGCCGGGTCTCTTAGCAATTAGCTCCGTTAGGATGGGTAGGTACGCCCGATCTGGGAATGGTACTCGAAGTACTTCCCAAACCCTCTCGCACTCCCCGGTAGTACTTCCGTGCATCCATCCACTGCTACTCGGCCCGTGACATCGCTCTAATTGATCTCTATTCCCATAACGCGCTTCTCCCAGGGGAGCCGAGATATCACGTTAGTACGTATCCTGCCATACCCTGTTCTCGTATTCAACGGAATCGAACTAGTTTGCGTGATATCTCGGTTCATCGTACTGCTTTAATGAAGAGCATAATAGCTGCACATTATTTCCGTAAACTTCTTATTGTTAGAAACAAAACTATCGAAAAATCAGTGCAATTTAAGTATCTCTCTCTAATATTGTAATAATAATATTATTTTCCTTAATATTTTTTTCTCCTGTTTAATACACAAAATTTTGGAACAAAAATTTCAATGTTACTATTTAGATATTATTAGATATTATTCGGCAAATAAATGATTAAGTATAAGTGGAAAAGGAATATATTCTTTTGTTTCATAAATATTAATTGTGCATATATAAAAAAACAAACGGTATATTTTAATATTATTCCATGAATATTAGAAAATATTATTCCATGATAATTTGATAGAATAATTTGATCTGATTTCACATTGTGCACCGTAAAAGAATGAATGAGTTCACGCGAGGAACAGCGAAATAATAAAAAATAATTTACGTGACGGCAATGAAATGATCGCGTTGAAATTCTCGCGTCGCCCATTTCAAGTGAACGACCACACAAATCTTCGACGGAACGAAATTACCATTCCTGACCCTATCGACATCGTTAAGCATAAAATCCAGACAATGTTCTTGCTCTTTTCTATTTCATTGATCTTTGTGCTCTTTCAGGCGTTATCGTCGGCGACGTACCCATACTACGCGGCGGCGGCAGCTGCCGCCGCGGCGGCGGCGGGCGTCGCGGGTGTCGGAGGCGTCGGTGGCGTCGGCGGTGCTGGACAACTAGGATACTGGTATCCGCCCCAATCTTATCCCACGACAGCGACACAAATGCAAGCTGGTGGCTTTCTTCAAGGCATGCAGGGATATACCTATGGACAGTTCGCCGGATATCAACAGGCGCAATATATGGGGTAAGCTTTTCACACGAGATAAAGTTCCTTTTTCCCAAAAACCAAGTTTTTTGACGATGAAATTTTCAATAATCAGAGATTTAAATGTAACATGAATATATGATCCCTCCATCTTTTTGCAGTATCAATGGATTGTAAACCAATTCGGAAATTTGAAATCTATATAACTTTAAAATTTATATTAAAAAATTTATATTAAGAAATAATTATTCATATAGCTATATTAAGAAAGCTATATTAAATAGCTTGAATTTTGTATATTAATTTTAATATTTTAATTCATATATCTATATTTTCTCTCTATTTTTGATAAATTTATCTAATTGCCAATAACATACATATAACATTTAGATAATTTTTAAACATATTTATCAATTAACTGTTACAAAAAGTATCAATACAAATAATACAAATAATACAAATAATGTATATGTAATATGTAACCTGAGGAACATTAATATTAGTAATGCGAATTCTCTTCATTTGTATGTAGAAAGGAAGGTGGTATTATAGCACTCTATTTACATTTCATACTGCAATAACTTATGCACTAACTTGGTAATAATCAGTATTTAAACCTAAAACTTAATAATTACATTTGTCAAAGTATTATTCAATTGATTCTAGACTCAAAGTTACGAAATATATTTATTATTTAAGATATTATTTATAAAAATGTAACTGCATAATGACTCAAAAAGAAACAAGGATGCTTCCAAAAATAGATTTTAAAAAATTGGTTTTGTTTAAAAAAGTGTTCGGTTACAAAATTTAAAAAAAAAGTAAAATATATTACAGAATGTAAACAAATATATAATGTACACATAATTTCTCCCGCATATAGGCTTAATTCAGTATTAAAAAATTATAATACATGTAACATAAATTATATGAATTAACAATAGAGTTACAATCGATTTACGAAATAATTATTTCAATATGAAAAGCACTCGAGGCGTTCAGCACGCTTAGAGGGCCACATTAGTAAAATGCCATGCTATTGTTTAATTTTGCTCAATAAATCAAAGTATATACAATTATAATAAATAATATGTTAAATAACAATACATATATTCACGTGATAATTAGCTCTAGTTTAAGAAGAATGAAGTATGTGTAACTAAAATGTATTTAAAAAATGTTTAAAAGTAAAAATGCGTTATAATAAATGTTAACTATTGGGTACTGGCATCATAACGGCGAGCTATCGAGCAAATAATTTCATCACCAATAATCATTAGAATTCGCCACCCAATAGTAGAAATATTAAGAGGTCTCATTATTTCTACACTGGCTATGATATCACCTTCACTTCTATTGCTTTATAAAATTATATGATTTGACAATTATATATATATTTTTTACATACAAACATAGAATGGGAATGGGTGCTGTTCATGCTGCTGGCACAGCGGCAGGATGGGGTCAGGGATTACCTGGGGGACCACAGTTACCACCACACCACGCCACGACGGTCACGGCACCCCCAGGGGTGCAAGCCGCACCCCCGCCACCACCGCCACCGGCACAAATGATGGCCTACCCGATGCAACAGTTCCAGGTAACCATTACTTTATCTATCCCATCTGTATACGCGTGCAAGTGTGCGCCATATTTGTTTGTGTGATGTTCGTTGGCTAACACCGGAGTGTTTTGCTTTTTACATACCTTTGCATCTTGCCCCTGTTATATCCAAAAGCAATTTCGTCAGTGCCAGTATTGGCTTGTAAATGTTGCACGTGGAAACTCGATTCGATATCAAAAGGATATCGAAGGCATATGTCGACAGAAGAATACGCATAGTATGTATACGTGTGTATATATATCTCTACACACACACGCGCGCGCGCGCGCGCGTGTGTGGGTGTGTGTGTGTGTGTGTGTGTGGGTGTGTGTGTGTGTGTAGAGTCGGTAATCTTAGGAACCTCTAAACTTGGTACTTGATATATCATTCGAAAGAGATAGAACATAGTACAATTTTGCACAGATGGAACAATAAACATAACTATAATAACACATATGATATAATTAACTGCATACATATATTCGGTATAATATTTTGGCTTGAGTTAACGATATTGCGAAGTTACGGGAGCAACCGCGATATGCTAATTTCAGTAATTCATATCAGCATTATTTACAATAATTACATAACATATGTAAATGAAAACTTGCGCACGCGCGTATTTTCTTAAATTTTATTATTGTAAAAGAGATTATTTTCTCAAGATTATTTTCTCTGTCAGATTAATAATACATTGTCTGCAATATCATAGCTACGTGTTATGTTATCAAACTTCGATTTCTCCATTATTAATTTAGATCACAAAATTATTCATCCGTCATAAATAAATCGGAAGAGAGTTCACTTAATAATTATTGAGGAATAGTGCTGTGTGAATGAAATACGAACTATTGTCGGAACTATATATGCTTATGCATTAAAACTTATGATGTCTTTTTTTATAAACAGAGTTGGGTAAAAGACAGAGAGAGAATATAACATTCATATGTTGTTATTTGTATGTTATTTGTATTCGTATAATTTGAAATTATAATATCAATAAAATGGTAAGTATTCGTCTTACAAACGAGAATATAATATGTTACCCACCTCTACTATATAAAATATACTTTTTAGCTAGTTGCGAAGAATGCGTTAATTTTCTCACTGACGAAAGTGCTTTATGGCAGTCGTAATGTATTATGGTAATTGTGTGGAGAATGTTTATAGTATGCATGTCTAAAGATCCACATAATTAACGGCGAAAAATAATAGATAAATTTTATGTACCATTATTTCGATTATCTTGTACCGAATTTCGAGAGATATTACTAGAAACTGAAAAAATAAAAGTTACTTTAATTTTTTTGTTGAAAGATTTAAAACGATGTTTGGTGTTACAATGGTATTTGTGAAATTAATAAGATATTATATATAAGATATCACATTAAGTAATTATGTTATGTACCTCTTTGTATACAATTAATTATCTTTCTAACATAATTTTCAATCCATTGACATGCAATTGTACTCTTACTAGCAACGTATTTTTTATTTTTTGTACACCAGACATTGATAAAGCAAGACAGACTCGCTTTCCCGCTCGACACGTGATTATAGAAGATTGTCGAGATTTAGTTATGTTGCAAAAAAATTGTGGTTCATGGCAGTGAAGTGAAATATGATACTTATCATAGTTGTTGTCCAGAAAAGTACACCTCAACCATCTTGCTTTCTGCACAAAATGCACACGTAAGAAAGTGCGCACTTGCACACACAGGCACACACGCCATCGCTAAAAATGACGCTACTACAAAAAAAAAGTCTGGAATATTTGAAAAGAGATCAGGGATGGCTTCGGGCAAGCGCAGCGAATGCATTTCAACTCAGCACCGCTTTTAATGCCCCGCGTTCTTTTTGCTTCAAGAACAATTTCTGAACTTGACAACTTGAAGTCTCAGAATTGAGAACGACTATCTTAATTTAAAAGATCGCTAAAAACTCTAGTCTGAAATTTTCAAATTAACTCTGTTGTTTCTTTATATTTTCCTTTTCATTATTTATTAAGTAAATAGAAAAAACTTATATGTATATGAAATATATTAAAAAAAATTTTTGACACTTATACAATAATTTTATATTAAATAAAAATAGTATTATTATTACAAAATCACATCTTATTAAGTATTTCATGTATTTTTACTTATTATATAAGCCTAATTTTTTAAATTACATTAACTTAAATATAAACTTCAGTGATAAATAAAACAATATGAACTTGTTTTTTAGTATTTTCAACACATACATTATTATATCACGATAGAAAACAACGCATTCATAAATTTACGGAAATGGAGGGTAAATCGGCTCGAGGTTAAGAGATCCCACTTTAAGAGAAAATACAGTTATTAGGAATAAAAGAATAAGTTTTCTGATCAACAAGACTAGTAGACTTTGTTGAAGTACAATAAAATTGAAATAAACTCTGAACTGAATCAATGAGCGAATATCTGATTGTAAATCCGATTTGCTCACTAATTCCTTTCATCCTGCTTTAATTTAATGATCCGCAAAAATCTCTCTAAATGGATTGGCAAAAATAAAAAACCAGTAAGCATCATAATGTTTCCGGTTTTTTTTAAAATTAATCATATATATGTCCATATTTCGCATTTAAAAAAATTGTGTCAAGATATTTATGTGAACATTTTTCTACACATATAGCGTTAACTTTGAAATGAGTCACATATTTAATAATAGTAGTTTATAGAAAATTTTTAGACGACTATTTTATTAAAAAAAGTATGGATAATTTAAGATAGTAATATATTGTAAACGCTATATCGATTTTGGCTTTCGTCATTAATCTGCAACTGTTTGCAATGCCAGTAAAACGATCTGTCGCTCATATTGTATATATGTTTAAGGAGATATACATATCACGCAGCTATAGTTGTTTAGTGAGTCTTTTGTACATAGAGCGGAGTAAAAGGTCACGTACTATTGCTCGTCTACCGCATCGAAAGAGATATTCCGGTGAGGAAAGTTAGCTCGCTTTCGCACAAATATCTTTCTCCGAAAAACCGAGTTCGCATTATATCACTGCATGTCAAGCGAGATATCACTTTGAAAGTTGCTTGAAAATCAGCCACCGAAACTATCCTCAATTGAGAGAGAACACGAATTCTTAATAATAATACCGATTAAACAATGAAAGAAGGATGAAACGTGGAAAATATATCGCTACCGGGATAAATTGCAATTGACTTTCCATTTAGTTTGCTAATTTTTTTTTGTTACAAAAGTTACAAAGTTTTGCGTTTGATCACAAGCTCTAAGAAAACAAATTTATACACGAATATTCGCAATTTACAATCATGAGCTAAAAGCTGCGAAGTTATGAACATGCAAATATCCCCGTGTAAATTTGCCTGACGTGTATTAAACTTTAACGTGCAGCTAACAAAATGTATATTAACCAATAGAAAATTGATAAAAAAAACTTAATATAAAATTAAGAAAATTAATATTAGATGAATGTTATAAATATAGTGTGGATATAAAAAAATTATATAATAGCTCTCTACGTAGATCTTAACTTGCATGAATATGGAATGCAAAATGTAAACATTGCATGCATCTTGCACTTTATCTAATTCAATTCGGGTATCCCTCTGGAGTGTCTTTCTTTAATTTTCTTATTTTTATAAAGCATTATTTATGATTTATTCGATTATATTATGTTTTATACATTATAATTTTAATTCAATTTTAACAAATTGAATAATTATTTTGAAATAAAATGTGAAAATTTTAGTAAATATTTTATGATTTATGATCGTTGCTTTATTAAGTGGAATAAATTTAATTATAATTTATATGATTTTTTTTACTATTATAAATTATTATATTAAATTATATTTAAATTATATTTAAAAGATCGAATGTACTTACATGTGATAATATTGTACTCGATGCTCTTGTTGTTTACTATCCAGGAAGGGATGCTCGAAATTTTCAAAAAGACTATCTTTATTTACATATTTCGGTTCGCAGGCACAGTGATCGCTACCACTATCATCGCACGGCCTGGCTTATCCTTTCTTTCGAATATCAATTAGCATCAGGATAACTGCATCTACAACCTGGCTCAACCTCGCATTCAGCCTGAAATTACTCGCTGCAGCTTATTTTTATGCAAAAGGATAATATTTTCGACGAACAAAAAGGAATGGAAGAAAACATGTAAGAAAAAAGCAAAAGAAAAATGTGTCTATTCGCGTCTAATTTATCAGCATAACAATTTATAATATTTGATTTCATAGTAGTCTAAACTTAATTTATCCAATGACGACTAAGCAGATTAAGTTATGAAAACTCATTAACCTAATCTTGCGGTTAATACGCCATCGCCGATGCGATAAATTATAATACAAGTAGTTTATTCTACTTGTTATATTATATAATTATTATGCAATCTTTACATATTCGTTGCGCCATATGGTGGAGGTTGAGTCATGGTGAAGGTAGATTCAGATCGATTAGAATCCATATAGTAGGAGAATGTGAGAAATTGTAATGAAAAAGCAAGAGTGAAAAATGAGACAGAAGCGAGAGAAAGAGAAAGAGAATGAATGAAAGAGAAAAAGGAAGCAAAAGAGAGCACATAAACGAACGCGAAGACGAGTGAAAGAGAGGGAGAGAGAGGACTATTGTCGAGCATATTTCTATTACTTTCTTGAAATTCGGACCAAGATTTAACCAGCGTTTGTGTGTTCAAATGGTAAAGTGTGTTCTTGGTTGCGGTCCAGCTAGCGGATGAGGACTGGCTGACGCCTAGCCTTCTAGTGTGATGGTAAGCAAGTACACCCCACCAACAGGAACAACTTCTACAGCAACAACAGTTACCACCACCATCACCACCATCATTTCCTCCTCCACTACTACTACCACCTCCAACAACAACAACAACAACAACAACAATAACAACATTTCCGTCATCATCGATGCACAATCGACCGCGACAGCAAAAGCAGTAGAATTCATGCCACTTCCGGCTTGACGACACGCGAGTCGAAAGGCAGTAATCACGAAAAACAGATAACACTTGTTTAGTAAAAACGAAGAAACAAAGTGAGAAATAAAAAAAATAGTAATTAAGAATCATAATTCTAGGTAATTTTGCGCAAGATGCATCCGACATCCCTATAATTCCCCTGTAAGTTTTCACGTCCAGTGTAAGAGAAAAGAACTGCTACCGATTACTAAGCGGAGATACCTCTCGTCCAGTCTGTAGGATAATCTAGCATCTTATTCGGCTTGAAGAAATAGATAGCGTTTGTCATTACAGTAGTATCCGAAGCTTCAATACAAAATACGAAATATATGTGAATAAGTCATTCGACGGTCTGACAGTGTTTTCTTTTTTTCTTTTTCTTTTTTTTACTGGAACTGGCCACTTATGCATATACTATGTATTGTCCAGCGATAATGAGAAAAAACGAGTCCGCTACATTCAACGGGGTCGTGGTTTATCAGATTCCTTTTAACAAAGAGCATAAATTTCTTGATCCTCTCTATGATAAAAAGAAGAGTGCCGGATACAGATTCGTTACACGGATTCATTATTTTTGTAGTTTGGGCTTAACAGCGAAAAAATAACTCAAAGACATAATGTCGAAAGGGACGCTCGCGGTCGAATGCGACGACTGGCGAGTGGCTGCGGTGTATAAATACAAAGATTAATCGACGCATATTCTCGTGAAGATAGATAAATATATAAATAAATAAATATATATATAT